AAACAAAAAACTGAGTTCCATATATTCTCACTCATAAGGTGACCTTGAACAATTATAAGGCTATAAGAAAGCGATTGGCAGTAGTGGAAAACTGTCAGGGGAGAGGGTGGGATTGGCAGTTGAGGGAAACTGCTGGGGGAGGGAGGGGCATACCTCATCAACAAGGGTACTTGCATGATTAATATGTGTATACCTAACCCTGAATTGTACCCCACATCTTTATAATAAATAAATAAATAAATTTTAAAAAATAAAGAAGGTTAACTCATTTAGAAGGCAAAGGACAGAGGGGGATGCAGACTTGACTATGTATTTTCCCCAAACGCACCCTTTGCATCTTTGCCTGATACAGTCAATATCATGAGTTCAATGAGATCTGACAGCAGCCTCAGCCAGACTCATATCTTTCAGATATTTCTCTTCCCCTTGTACCATAAATAGCAGGAAGAAAAAAGAAAGAGGAGCTCAATTTTGTGCCTCCCTGGAAAAGAAATATTACCCAGATCCTACTATAATATTCTGATTTCCCTCATACTAATATAAATTAGTAGTTATGAGCATGAGTTAGACATCGGCATCAGCCTGGAGGAGTCCTGGCTTCATTCACCTTTACTGACTGTGGCTTTGGGCAAATATGCCCCTGAAACTCTCTAATCCTTAGTTTTTATATCCACAATATTAGGGTGCACTATCTAGCTTTCAGGACTGTTGGGCCTTTTACATGAGATAACATGTACAAAGTCCTCAAAAGTCTCAAGCATGTAGTAAGTACCTAATATCCAGCAATTATTTTTATTTCTATAAAAGTAGTTTTATAGATATTCAGTTTGTGCTCACTGCCAGAATAAGGGTGGGGAATATGATGTTAAATTTAGATGAACTTCAAAGCCTCCCCATAACCATTTGCACATTCCCTGGATTGCCTTCAGGCCACTAGGACTCTTCAAGAGTATTTGTGGGGCTTGCTGTTGGCAGGAAAACCTCTTGTCACTTTACAAATGGCTTTTCCTGAGTCTAGAAAGAGATGGACTCACATCTCTTGATTACTTATGTCTCCCAAAAGCAAGGAACTTTTTGTGAGTAGTAAAAGACAAGATATTTCCAGCCTGGTTCCCGTCAATTAGCTTATGTCTCAATATTTTCTGGCTATAGTTATGCTCCAGATACTTTTTTTCAAAATAGATCTCAATGGAACCTTGCTAACCAAACTGCAATCATGAATTTTAAATAAATATATGGCACCATTTCCTAGGTCCGTGCTGCTAGATGTTAATACTGATCTTCAAAGGGCTCCAAGGTCAAATAAGTTTAGGAAACTCTATACCAATCTTAGCTAGCCATAGTGTACATTTATATATCCTAAGGTATGGGAAGTCAGTCCTGCAATAAAGAAATCTGCTTAACTTTCTGCTCTATAGCATTTCCCAGGTTTATGTGGCTTAATACAAAGCTTAGAAAACTGTCATTTGTAGCAACAAGAACTGTGACCATGGCAGGCGCTCTATAGAATATATATTGGATAAACAATGCCACCCTGAGGAGTTATACGCTCTCTCCCTTGCTGTTTTCAGCCAATTGCTGCAATGCTAACTGCTTGACTTTGCTGAAATATAGTATGTAGGTCCTGAGTGTTTTCATGAACACGAGGGAAGGGCTTCAACGTATATGGAGAGAGGCAGGCATGAAGACATGTTGTGGAGGGGTCAGTAAATCATTCAGATGAAAATATTTTAAAAGTTTGAATTGCTATCCACCTCTATCACACAAGAAATGCAAATTTTTGATAACTTGCATTTGTGTAAATTAAGTATTTATAGCTATGAGCCATTAGCACTACAATGATTATTTAATAGTTTTTTTCTGAAATACAACAGTGATTGTAGATGTTAACTATAGAATTTGGGTGGTGGGTATACAGGTGTTTGGGGTAAAAGTTATTCAATTATTCTGTATGCTTAAAAATGCTTACAATAAAATATTAAAAAAGATTACCCACAACTTGTTTATTCGAAAGTACAATATAACTTAATATGACTTTTTGTATTTTTACTTTATTTCAAGTCGAAATATTTCTTACCCATTTAGATAACTTTAAAAGCATTTTGATGGACAGCAAGACTATAAATGGATGCTGACAAGACAGAGGTAAACACCTTATGCTAATTTTTACAGGATTGTCATTATGTCCCTGTCACAGATGGATAAAGTGAGATAACCACTTATCTAGAGCTGAGGAACAATTCAGGCACCACAGGGATCCCCTGAATCCACCCCAAAGTGCAAGGAGAAAATGCTCTGTGCTCTTCACCAGGGAAATTCACCTACATGTAAAAAAGCATAAATTGCTTAATCTAAAATTTTTTATATTACCTATATTTTTGCATATAATGAGAGGGATTACATAATTAAAACGTGTAAATGAGATGCTGTAATGACTTGTTCCATCTACTTCTGCAAATACTTCTTCATCCTACAGCTGAAGACAGTGTCAGGATGCTTCTCCTTTTTCCTTTTTATGATTGTTTAATTTTAGCAACAAATTTATTTTTAGCCATAAATCTCCAAAGTAACCTTATGTTAATACATTTAAAATGGTAAGGAATGATAATATTTATTAAAATGGAGAATAGCAAGTTATAAATTCTTACTTTATAATGATACCTTTTCAGAAATCAAGAAATTTACACTCCTTTAGAACACATAAATGAACATATTCATCGATACATCATCAACATATTATCAACGCATCATCAACATATTAGAACCCCAGGAGAGTCCTTAGTACACAAAACCCACTTGCACTGTGGAACAAATCAAGCCTTGGATGCCAAGAAGAATGACTTAACTTTCAGTGCGTCTCTCTATGGAATCTGATCATTTCATATTTTCATTAAAAGGCTAGAGCATCTTACTCATAAGTGGGTATTCTCGTTTCTGACACCACCTTGTCAAGCAACTGTAAAACTGACTTCATTTGAGACAAACTTTTTTGAAGTATTTGAGCCAAAATATTTCTAAAATATTTCTAGTTTATAAGAACACAAATGTGGGCCCTTTGTGCCCAGATTTCAACTATGCCCCCAGCAGTGCAGCCTTGGCATTTGGGGAGAGAAGTGACAGCAAGATCTTCTTCCAGATCCACTGGCTCACTAAAGACTTGCTCATTACTTAAATATCAGTCTTATTCATTCATGTCAGATTTTTTAAACCTGTTTTTAAGATGTCACATCCCCCGCCACTCCCACCAACTGCAAAGGTTTACATATGTCCATTTCAAATATATGAAAAATATAGAAAATATTAAAAAAGAAAGCAAGCAGTAACAAGCACTGTCAACATTCTAATACAACATTTCCCTCACTATCAGAATCTATTTGACTTCTGAATTCCAGCACAAACTTCTTTTTCACCAAAGTATAAAAACAATGTAAAACAGAATGGAATTTAATCTATTTGTTTCCTGAATTTGAAAAAGAATTTGGATAGAGGAAAGTATCTATACAGCTTACTATATAGCTCTATGTATTCACAGATATTTATAAATATGCATATGCAGCATTCTAGCTATATGTCAAAATGACATTATTGAGAAAACAATGTACTTATTTTTACAAAGCATCTCATGTTTTTCAGTAGGTAAGACCATTTAGGGTAGACAAAAGAAGTTGCAGCACCTTCTGCCAACACTTGCTTTCTTTTACTTTCTTATAATTTCTACAAGTATGAAACTATATATTTTGAATGCAATCTTTCTAAAATATATCAAAGGACTACTGTCATAAAATGCTTCTTTGTAATTAAAGATTAGGAAAACATACTTAAAAGATCTAAGTGAAGTACTGTTCAAAAATTAAAATCAGAAATGATTTTTTTGTTCATAAAGTAAATCAGTATTAGGTGTTTATCAAGTAGACACACAGTTTTAATTGTTACAAACAAAAATAAAATTACAGTGAAGCTAACCTCTGCAATAACAAGCAAACTACTTACTTTTGAAATATTCATGTTTCTTTTTGAATAACATCATTAAACAAGGAAATTAGATCCAGTTTCCCAGAGAGAAATCTTTCAGGACAGAAACAGTCTCATGAACATAGGAAATCTGTGAGCACCTGAACAAGAATAGACAACTCCAGGGAAAAATATGATGTCACTACCATGTGCCTTCATGTCTGGCCACAGACTAACATGGATATTTAAAAGCATGCTGTTCAGGGAAAAGTAAAATGTAACCACTTGTTTATAAAAAAGAAAATTCACTCCATTTGTATATGTAACATAAGTAACCAAACCTAAAACTTAACACGCACAGAAATCCCCAAAATAAAAACCCAAATTTCCCTTTACCTAAATTCATTATTCTCTAATCATATCACACCAACATCTCTATCTCTATTTAATGGGCAAAGCTCACTGGTGTGTAACTTCACATGTTAAGAAGAAGTATGTTATATAAAAACCAGACTCTTCAGCAGCAAAAGCACAAGTTTCATAAGAATACTACTCTTGAAGGAGTTTAGTAGAAAAATGTAACTCTAAAGGTTTTGGATTATATAAACTGAAATTAGGTCATATTTTTTGAAGATCTGAGAATTGGTTCTTTTATATTCCCCAAATTCTTTCACAGCTGTATGTTTATTGGATAGGGAGGCAATAAAAGGTAAAAAAAAAAAAAAAAAAAAAAGGGTCAGGGGTAAGCAGCTTTAGAAAGAGAAGCACCATTCCAATATCATTTCTAATTATCTACCTGACCAGTAACTTTGCTTTAAATAATCAATAGAATATTTGTAAAAGATTTCCTCATTCAAGTAGCATTCAGTATAAGCTATCTGTACTCCTGAACCATTAAGCCTTGAATTCAAAGTAGCATGAGTCCAAACACATCTGCATTAGAAAGGCTATATGCCCCCAACTCTAGGTCACGCTTTTCATTGTAGGCCTGACATTCAGAACATCAACAGACACATGCATTTTGAAGAAGGCACTATAACAGTTCCTACCTCCACATAGTCCTTGGCATGGCCCCAATCTCGCTTGGCATCCAGATTTCCCAAACTGAAACATTCCAGTTGTCCAAGGTAAATCTTAGCTACTGACCGACTGATTTTTCGAGTAACAAAATTAGCTCCTAAAAAGAGGCAAAAGATATATTATCAGTGAGGGACATTTGATATTTAACAGTTTGGTGAACCAAACCCAATCTCAGACTCTGGACATTTCTTTCATTCTGGTATACCACCTACCCCCATTTAAAATAATAAAAGAGAAGAAAAAGAAAAAAGATCATTAACTATCATTTAGACAAGAAGTTCTGATTCTATATGTCACATCAGCTCTACTTTCATAACAAACATTTTTTTCTTTGAGGGACGTCTTAACATTCCTAATTTGTTGCTTCAATATGCAACCCAGGCATTAGGCCAAAGAAAAACTGTCAGAATGCCAGTTTTTAAACAGAAAATTCAAAAGAGTTGTATAAAGGGAAATGCCAGAATGGACGACAGACATCTAAGACCACCCTGATTTTTTTAGGAAAACAAACATCATATATTCCTATTAATAATGCTATTTGGAGGCCCATGGGGAAAGGGGAAAATGTAACTCAGTTCACAGGATATAACTAGTTAAAGGAAACAAAAAAGGAATTTATTTGGGCTGCCTTTCTCTTAACAAAATAAGTGGTGATCACTCTTATTTAGAAACCTGCATACCCATCCAAATATAAAGTATGACAAGGCTCCTAGTCAAATGTTTCTCTGTATTATACTTACAGCAGTACCACCTCCCAACTTCATTTAAGTGTTATCTACAGAAATAAACTCCTGAATTTTGTATAAATATTTTGACACAGATGAAAGGTGCCATCCATTGAAGAAAGTATTAAAATTGTTTTAATGTTCTCTAGTATTAAATGAAAGTCTCTACCCACTTTTTGAAAAATCACAAAATTAAAAGGCACTTCTGAGACAAATTTATCCGAGCCCCCTAGGTGCCCCAGAATCTATATAAGGTTATCAGAGAGACCATTTAATGCCAAATTGTCAAGGCAACAACACACATATGAGTTAGCTAATAATGGCTTCATACAATTTGGATACATTTATATAATTTATCATATACCAATAACTTTACCTTAGTTCCTTTGCAGATGAAGCAAGGAGGCAAATATTGTTTTGTTTTATTTTTTGAGTTAGAGTCTCACTCTGTCGCCCAGGTTGGCATGCAGTGGCATGCTTACGGCTATCCCAGTGTCAAACTGCTGGGCTCAGGTGATCATTCCGCCTCAGTCTTCCAAGTAGCAAGAACTACAGGTGCACGTTGTTATGCCTGGCTAACTTTTTGATTTACTGTAGAGATGACGTCTCGTCAAGTTGCCCAGACTGTTCTCAAACCCATAGATTTAGGCAATCCCCTCACCTTGACTTCCCAAAGTGCTGGGATTACAGGCTTTAGCTACTGCACCTGGCCTAGGAGGCAAATATTGTGATGAAAGCTTTTGACTTCTAGAGAACTGGCACAGGAATAAGGGGGATATTTCTAAATAGGTTTTCTAAATTTTGGCAAGAATATGGACTAGGTTCAAACACAGTAGATTCATTTACTACAAAAACTTGGTATTATCATTTACACCAACACCGTATCATCAAAAAATACAACGGGACTACCGTAGAAATCCAAATTTTCCATTTTCCTTACCAATTTATAGGGTACAATAAGAAATCTAAAGTTTCAACTTTCTGCAGATATTTATAAAACACACAGAGGCCCTTGAAGAAAGAGTCTTCCAAAATGAAGAAGTATTTATTAGATATAATTCTTCTAAACCTATTATCAATTAACTACTAAATCTCCAATTTCCAATTGACATAACAATTAAGTTTAAATTTATGGTTAAAACTTAGGTTTGTTTATATTTATTTCAATGTCAGGATTACGCTATCAACCTAAAGTATACTAAACGCAAATCATATGATGAAGTTCCCAACACAAACTGTTTAGATTAACCTATGTATCAGTAAAGTAATGTTCAGGAGTCCAGTGGGTTTATTCTTTAAACCTGTGTTAATGAAGCACCATACCCTGAGGTGGGCACTGGAGATTTGGAAGTGAAGAAGCAGCACCCGCTCTGAGGTATCGCAGAGAGGGGCAGATGAACCAATAGAACAGGCCAAGTCCAGCACAGTAACAGGTTAGCAAGGAGGGAAATAGTTGGGTCCTATAACATGGCTGCCAGAGGCAGCACCCAAGAAATGCCCATTGGAAAATGAAACGGAATTGGGTCTCCAAGTAAGATTATGAAGGGATTAATCAAGCTATGACACAGGATGGTACTCCATGCAGGAGTGGGATTTGCAAAAATAGGATAGGGCCTTTCTCTTCTAACACATACCACACAACCCTATGATGGTTGAGGTACCTCCAGTGAGGCACTGCTCTAAGCTCTTTAAATGGGATAACTGATTTAATTTTCAGAGCAACCCATGGACTAAAAACTATTATTTTGTATATGCTAGGTCAACTGGTCATTCGAAAATAGGATACAAATCAAGATCCATATGACTATAAAACCTAGGATCTTCTATTACCAGGACTTGATTGTCATACTTTCTTATCTGGATCCAAACATTATCTTGAATAATTAGCCAAAAATAATTTTAAAACAAATTCTGAGTTGGGATCTCACTCTGTTGCCCAAGCTGGAGTACAGTGTCATGATCATGGCTCACTGCAGCCTCAAACTCCTGGGCTCAGATCATCCTTCTGCCTCAGCTTCCTAAATAGCTGGGACTACAGGCATGCACCACCACACCAGCATATTTTTTAAAAGTTTTTGTAGAAATGGGGCCTCACTATGCTGCCTAGGCTGGTCTTGAACTCCTGGGCTCAAGCAATCCTCCTGCCTCAGCCTCCCAAAGTGCTGGAATTAGAGGCATGAGTCACCTCACCCAATCTAATTAAAATTTCTAGCTCTGAAAACGTAATTTCAACTGCTATTAGTTAGAATGATATATTAAGATATAATTAACATTCCATACAACTCATCCATTTAAAGTGTACACTTCAGGGGGTTTCAGCATATTCAGAGAGTGGTACAACCATCACCATAATCAATTTTAGAACATTTTCACCACCACAGAAAGAAGCCCCATGCCCTTTAGCAGTCACTCACCATTTCTCCCAAGCTTGATGGCCCTAAGCAACTAATAATTTATTTTTTATCTCTACTGATTGCCATACATTCTGGACACCTCATATAAATGGAGTAAGTAATATATGGTCTTTTGTGATGCACATCTTTCACTTAACATAATATTTTCAAGAATCAGTCATGATGTAGCTTGAATCAGCACACCATTCCTTTTTTATGGCTAAATAATATTCCATTCTATGGGCATACCACATTTTATTTATCCCTTCATCAGCAGATGGACATTTGAGTTGTTTCCATCTTTTTAGCTATTGTGAATAATGCTACCAGGAACATCTGTGTACAAGTCTTTACGGATATGTTTCAATTTCCATTAGGTTTAGTAATTCTCAATTCTTCCTAGGATAGAATTACTGGGTCACATGGCAATTGCATATTTAACCTATCGAGGAACTGCAGACTTTTCCCAAGTGGCTGCACCACTTTATGTTTCCACCAGTAGGGAAATAGGGTTCTGATTTCTCCAAATCCTCCACAACACTTGTTATATTCTATCCGTTCAACTACAGTCATCCTAGTGGGTACCTGGTGGTACCTCATTGTGGTTTTGATTGACATTTCTCTGATAACTGCTCTCGAGCATCTATCTTTTCATGTGCTTTGGACCAGTTTTGTATCTTTTTTTGAAAAATGTCTATTCAGATCCTTTGCCCTATTTTTAAACTGGGTTACTTATCTTTTTATTCTAGAGTTGTAAGAGTTTTTTATGTTGCTGCATTCAAGTCTGATATCAAATATGTAATTTGCAAATATTTTCTTTAATTTTGTAGGCTGTCTTTTCACTTTCTTGATAAGTGCATTTTGAAGCATAGATGGTTTTTAATTTTGATGAAGTCCAGTTTGTCTGTTTTTGCTTTTGTAGCATGTGCTTTTGGTGTTATATTCAAGAAGGTTGTATTAATCCAAGGTCACGAAGATTTACTCTTGTATTTTCTTTTAAAATTCTATGGTTTTTACTCATACATTTGGATCTTTGATCCACTTTTAGTAAATTTTGTATATGGTGTGATGAAAGAATCCAACTTAATTTACTTACATGTGGATAACCCCATTGAACTGTTTTGGCACCTTTGTAAAAAAAATCCCTTAGTCACAGATAGGGGGCGTTATTTTTTACTTTCAATTTCATTCCAATGATCTGTATGTCTCTCTTTATGTGAGTACCACACAGTCTTGATTACTGTAGCTTTGCGGTAAGTTTCAGAATCAGGAAGTATGAGTTCTCCTACTTTGTTCACCTTAATGAATATTTTAACTATTCTTTGTCCCTTGAATTTCCATATACATTTTAGAATCAGTTTGTTGATTTCTGCAAAAACACCAATTGGATTCTTGACAGGGATTGTATTGAATCCATAGATCTATATAGGGATTATTTCTATCCTAATATTATTACATCTTCTGATCCATGAACACAAACGCCTTTCCATTATTTAGGTCTTTTAAAACTTCTTTCAACAATGCTTAGTTGTTTTCAAAGGATTTTTGTACATCTTCTGGTAAATTTGCTCCTAAACACCTTATTCTTTTTGTTGCTATCAGAAATGGAATTGTTTTCTTAATTTCACTTTCAACTTAATCTTAAACTATTTTTGAAACCATATGTTTCACTAGTTAATTCCCAGCAGGGTTATCCTTAATCCTCAAAATATTTCTATCTGGTACCAATCCTTCTTCCACTGCTTGCTTTAGTTTAAGTGCCTATATCAGAGTGGCTCTGTGCTGTAAAATACATCAGACACAGTAGTGAATAATGGGAACCCTTCTGCCAGATGGTCTAATGTCAATTTGTTTTCTGGCACAGCTTCTATGTCCTCTTCCTCTGTTAATTCCTCTGGTGTAGTGTCTATCAGCCCTTGAATTTCTCCAACATTCAAATCTTGAAACCTTCACTCCCTATCCTTTCTGTCATATCTATA